CAATCAATCAATCTATCTATCTATCTATACATATATACATATGTATATATATACATACACACAGACACAGACACACACACACACACACACACACACACACACACACACACACACACAACACACACACACACACACACACACACACACACACACACACACACACACACACACACACACACACACACACACACACACACACACACACACATATATATATATGTAAGTATATATATAGTATTATACATATACATATATATACATATACATATATACATATATATACATATACATACATATACATACATATATATACATATATGTGTATATATATACATATACATATACAAATACATATATACAGCTAAACAGATAGATAAATAGTTAGATAATTTTTTGTGAACAGCTGGCCTTTGTATTCAGATTTGAAAGGCAGTGATTTTGGCCACATAGTATAAACTTTACAATCTGGCACGAAAGTAGCTGTCAACCAATGCCCTGGAACCTCAACTGATGCCCTGGAACCTCAACTGATGCCCTGGAACCTCAACTGATGCCTGGATGCCCTCAACTGATGAACCTCAACAGATGCCCTGGAACCTGGGATGCCCTGGAACCTCAAATGCCCTGGAACCTGATAACCTCAACTGATGTCCTGGAACCTTAACATCTCCCATTTATAGGATTGGGGGGGATCAGTGTCCTAGAAAATATTCAAGTTGTGTATAATTTCTCACTGTTTCTAATTTCTGTATAAGTTACCGAGAGAGACATACAGACAAAGAGGGAAATGGACACCACTATTTTATAGTGTAAGAGAGAGTAAGGGAAAACATACTTTAAAAAGCAGCGGCCTCATATTTATCAGTAAATGACAAAAATGTCCACTGCATAGTACCACTCAAAGAGTAACAGTCATAAGCTAAAAGAAATTACGGAATCCACTCTTTGAAGTGCAAAATCTTCTACTAAGGAATAATACCACAAAAAATCAACTAGTATACCAAAATAAGGCAAGAGGATAAGAACATTGTATTTTTGAAACTGACAGTCCTAAAGTTATGTCAAGACTTCCTACAATCATAATCTCGCATAAGAAAATTGTGCCAAGAACTGATCTGCATTACACAATTTCTTAAAGTATACAATCATAAGTCCACAACACTCTTACACAGCCAGAGTTCCTAATGTCCCTTTTTTATGTTAGCATGAAGTGCTAATAAATGGGGGTACAAGGGGACTTACCCCCCTGTCTGAGAAATAAACAGAAGGTAAGATTAAGCTGGATTTTTGGGTTCGCATGATATCCTGATTATGGGACTTAGTCCATTCACTAGTAACAATTTAACTACTTTAACTAAGTCTACCCTACATTTCCGTTGTACTTCATGTGCCCTGGACATCTATGGGGGCCAATATGGTCGCTATTAGTCAATCAGCATGGTGAGGCCTCATAATAAAAGAAGTGCCTTAATTGCGTTTTGTGAGATGATAATGCTAGTTCTTATGGTTTCAATGTATGACATCAACCGAAAAAATATATCATATTTCATTACTTATAATAATGTTAGCTTACGAACTCTAGGCTTGCCCTAATTTTCAGGTAATCAAAACATCCAAAAGAACTTACCTTCTTTTGCTTTGATTCATCTGCTACCACAGTAGGACGCTCTCTGTACTTCTGCCTCGCCCTACCCATTTTGGTGCTTCAGAAAAGTTTTTAATACATAAAAAGAGTGAAGCATCCAGCACCGCGTACAGCTTCCAAGCGCGCTGTCGTCACATGGGTTTGTTTACATCCAGTAGTTGGGGATACGGACTAAATACTTATGAAAAGCATATTTGTTGAATGCATACAGATGCACACCACATATATATATATTGCCACAATTATTTTTGATAAATTACGAGCAATTAATAGTAAATGCTATTTATCATAACAAACGTTTTAATAAATTACTTATACGCTCTGACTCCTTTATCTCATGTAGGGCAGTGCACAAGCGTAGGAAGGTATTTTGAAGTTGAGGGGAGACAACTAAGTACCCCCAAAAAAATAGCCAGGGTCCCGGACGGTGCCAAGGAGCGAAGCCCCTGAAAGTTACTGAATTTCAGCAGTTCTAAAGAAATACACTCACTAATTTCTGCCCTAAAATTCTGACGTTTTTATCTAAATAATACTTGACATGGTTATTTCATTTTGGACACCAGTAGCTGCCCTCTCAGATGCAGGGAGTCAGTGTTCTCAACAATTGGGTAACTAAGGAATGGCACTGTATGTTTATTTACAATGAGTGTCCTCGAAAGATGAGGTGTTGGGGGGGGGGGGTTGGTCCCTGCCCCCCTCCATTCCAGAGTGGGAGTTCGGTTCACCCCTTTGCCACCCCTTTTCCTACGGCTATGCAATGGTACCCACAAACTATACTCCTTTTTCTGCCAAAATTAAAATATACATGGGAGATTGCCAATGATTACCTACATTCAACGTTTGGAGAAAATCGCTGCATTAAAATCATTATCATCAACCTGCTATCAGTCGACACCCACAACCATATGCATCTTTGCCTCGATAGAACAATAAAAAAAATGACCGAAAATTAATAGCAGCACTTTAATACTTTATTATCTTCGCAGGTATATACATTAAGGGCGTAGAGCCGTTATTAGACGAGATGGTGTTGCTGGCTGCGCTGTGGGATTCGAGGCTGCTATGAGTGAGATATTGCAGTTCTTTTAAAGGGGGGAGGGGAGGTGACCACCATTCTTTCCACGATGTTTGCGTTCTTCCTATTTTTGTCTGAGATTTCCATGTTATTTTAAGGCAAAGAAAAAAAAAGTGTGCAAGTGATTTCTTTGCGATTTCCCTTCTAACGATAACGATTTACGAACTGGTGGACTGTATTTAGGGTTAATGATTTTACCATTTCTGAGCACATGTTTATTTATCTATTTATTTTACTTCATTTTATTTTTTTATCTTTTATTCTTTTTATTTTCTTATTTATTATTTTTTTAAGGTTAACTCATTGAGAGTTTATCCTACTAGATACCTATATTGAAGGGATTCCTTATTGCAAAATCAAGAAGAAAGTCATCTGATGGGTTAATGATAAATCTCTGAGATGCTTTTGAAGGAAAATTGGAGGGTAGGAGGGACGTGTGACTGAAGAGGTGTCTATTTTCCTTCAAATTGTTTTTCACAGAGGATATTTGAGGGTTGACTGTAGGACTGTCCGTCTCACTGACTCCAGAAATCACAAATTCTTTAAAACATGTACTGAAGAATCTCGCTTTCTACTTGAAATCGTGAAGGAGTGACTTGTGACACTGGGAGGTTATCTTCTTGAAATGCTTGCTGGAGGAGGTGATGGGTCGGCTGCCAGGGGAACATTGGGATTCTCACGTTTGTTGCCCGAGTAAGGGTTTCATTTTAGACTGTCGGGCGAGGGGGGGGGGGGAAGCTGTTGCTCGATGGCGTTTTGAGAAGAACCGCTGGGCATTCGAGGATGATTCTGTATAAATATATTTTCACTCTTTTATCTGGCACGGATAATGAGAGAACATCCTTGGGCGAGTTCTGATTTGTGTAATGTTCTCTGTTGTGCTGGAGGGCGGATGCGAGTTGCACGTGATGCAGAAGGTGGGGAGACAACACTGCCTTGGGGCCGCGCTCTTTGGGTCAAACGCTTCACAGTTTGTTGTTACTCATTTTTTTTATTAGGCTATGTTGTAATAGCACGCACAGACACACACACACACATATATGTGTGTATGTATATATATATATATATATATATATATATATATATATATATATATATATATACTATATATATATATATATATATATATATATATAATATATTATATATATATATATATATATATATATATATACATATATATGTGTGTGTGTGTGTGTGTATATGTATGTGTGTGTGCATGTATGTGTTGTGACTATGAATCGAAAAAGTTTGATATTGACAAGAAAAATCGATTCGAGAACATTGCAACTCAGGTGCTATGCAAATAGTAACTCATTTCGACGCCCCTCATTTTCATCGGCAAGAGGGGCAGTTTCCCCCCCTTCACCCTGCTAGCATGCCACTGTATATACAAACGTGCATATGTATATTTATATATATACATAAATCATATAATGTGTGTGTGTATACACACACACACACACACAGTATGTGTGTGTGTATATAATATATATATATATATATATATATATATATATATTATATATATATATATATATATTATACACACACACACGCATATGTGTGCCTGGGTGTGTGTGTCTGCGTGTGTATGTATGTATTTGCAACAAGTATTCAGTTTGGAAGCCAACAGTACCACAGTTAACCAAGGAACAAACTGACGGTAAGCTTTTGAACATAAAATTCTAAAATTTACTAAAATAAAGGTTCAAAAGACAGCGGCACCTCGAAAATTCTGGTTAACCTGGGTCATGAGCAGCGTGACACCTGCTTTGATATGAAGTCAGGGTCAAAACTAATATTATCCAAAAATATTTTCAAAAGCCTTTTCCCATATTCTTTTTGATGTTCACCAATTTGAATCTCATTCTAGAAATGTTAAACAAAAGGGGCTAGGAAAGACATTTTTTTTTCAAAAGGTATGGGGGCGATGTGGAATTACTTTTAATTAGATCATTTTGTACCAGTTTTGTAGTAATGTTTTATTTTTTTAAGTAAGTTTAAAGCTTTTAGTGGCTTTGTGCAGTTTATGGTTATTGTGGCGCGATGTGTGTTTTTTGTGTGGTTTCAAGAGACAAAGTCAAAAGGGGGGGTCCCTTTTAGACGCGCCACCTTTCCTTTGTCAGAAGTATTCTCTATTTATCCATTGGAGCTTCAAAGGGGTAATAAACAACTACATATCTTTATTTTCTGCAAAGAAATATAAACGTACCAACCATTATTGATAATTCAAACCTCATAGCGAGATTTGGCTTTTTCCCGGGAGAATAGATACAATTTTTTTTTATAATATTTATTGATAGTACAAAATAGCGAGCACACACTTGGCTCATGAGTCCGGCGGTGCTTTTCACCTGGATATTATCTTATTTATGGTCAAGAAACTTCTAAACCTCTTAACTCGTCTATTTAGACATCTCCCTAATAATTTATAATTCTTTTTTGAAGAGTTATGAATCATTTTTGGGCTCGGCTGATAGCGAGGCAGATTGTTGAAGTATCTTTCCTTTTTTATCTCTTGCTATCTTATATCTTAAACAAAAGAAGAGAGACGAGCGAACGAGTGGTAAGTCACCCTTTTCTTTTAGGAAATGATCTTATATTCCTGTTGTTGTTGTTCCATTTTTTATTGTTTTTATGTTTGGTGTTCTTCTTATTCATTATTCTTTATTTGATTGATGTTAAAGATCAGCTGATCTGGGAAGTTGACCGTCCGATGCTAGTCTCCGGTAGTCTTCCAGTTTCCCATTTTCTTTGACGTTCTTTTTTCATATAAACAATAAAAGAAAACTAAATAACGGTGACTTCAATCCACTGGCGTTAGTTTAAAGATGAGACAGATAAAATGACGATTACCTAAACAACGAAAGAACGACGAGAACAAGACAAAAATAATAATAGTGATATTAATAAGATCATTTGTTAGTTTTTGATATTAATTCGTTTTTTTGCTTAACTCCACATCCCTTGTTCGGGCTCGTGACGTCACAAACAGAACATTCTTGGGAGATGTTGTTGAATTTTTACAATTAATTTTATTTTGTATAATTAACTGATTTTAATAATATTTGGGAGTTACTCTTCATCATCATCATCATCGTCGTCATCATCGTCGTCATCCTCATCATCACCATCATCATCCTCGTCATCATCATCACCATCATCATCCTCATCGTCTTCATCATCATCGCCATCATCATCCTCATCATCCTCATCATCCTCATCATCACCATCATCTTCATCGTCATCTTCATCATCTTCATCATCTTCATCGTCGTCGTCCCCGTCCCCGTCGTCGTCGTCGTCGTCGTCATCATCCCCGTCCCCGTCGTCGTCATCATCATCATCATCGTCGTCATCATCACCATCATCATCAATGTCGTCGTCATCATCATCATCATCACTGTAGAAGATGCGGACAAGATAAATAATTCTGAAGATGAAATGAGGCACTTCTCCTTCCGTCAACCCGCCATGCTACTTCTCCGTTCGACCTATCCTTCTCCTTCTCTTTCTCTTTCTATCTCCCTGCTTCTTTCTCTCTACCTATCACTATGTCTCATTTTTTTCTTTTCTTTTTTTTAGTCTAACCCCCTTACGCTTCGACCTATTCTTTTCCTTCTCTTTCTCTACCTATCACTCTGTTTCTTTCTCTCTACCTATCACAGTGTCTCATTCTTTTCTTCTCTTTTTTTTTAGTCTAACTCCCCCATTCTACCTCTATCTGTCTACCCATCAATCTCCTTCTCTCTCTCTTCTTTCTTTCTGCCTATCTATATTCTGCACCTCTTTCTCTATCTTCCATTCCCATCATCTTTCTCTTTCTAATTCCCTATATCTCTATCCATTAATCTGTCTACCTTTTTATTCCATTTCTCTTTATATTTCAATGTGAATCTGGTTCTCTATAACTTCTATAGTGTTGTTTATTATTTCATTTCTCTGGCTATCAATCATTCGGTTTTTTCTTCTACCTGTTATTCTATTTATCTATCTGATTACCTTTCATTTCATTGACCTTTGCTTTTCTAGTACCCTAAGCTTGATATTTGTAAACATACATTCATATATCTCAAACTATCTATCTATACATAGTATGTATGCATGTGTGTGTGTGTATCTGTATGTATGTGAGTGTGTATGTGTGTGTGTGTGTGTGTGTGTGTGTGTGTGTGTGTGTGTGTGTGTGTGTGTGTGTGTGTGTGTGTGTGTGTGTGTGTGTGTGTGTGTGTGTGTGTGTGTGTGTGTGTGTGTGTGTGTGTGTGTGTGTGTGTGTGTGTGTGTGTGTGTGTGTGTGTGTGTGTGTGTGTGTGTGTGTGTGTGTGTGTGTGTGTGTGTTGTGTGTGTGTGTGTGTGTGTCTGTAAATTATCTACCTATATCTACCTACACACTTACAACAAACTAGAATTAAACACAAAAATCCCCCATTCATATCAGTGGAACATCTTATCTGCAATTAATCAATAAACACCAAATATATTGAAAACCGAACAATAGAAGCCAAACTACGCTACCACTAATTAAATTATCAAATCTAAATTTCCATCTATTAGCTACGCCAACCTGATCTAAAAATGTTAAATAAAACAAATGTTGTTTTTGGTACAGGAGTTAAACTATATAATCTAGGGATGATGATAGCCAACGACCAAAACTACAACTAGAAATTAGATAACACTAGAAACCTACTAATTAGCCAAGCATAGAAACCTACTAATTAGCTAAGCATAGAAACCTATTAATTCGTTAAAACTAGAAATCTATTAATCACCCAGCTTAGTCAGTGTAACTAATTACCCTACACGAAGCACTAATTCCCTAAATAATGATGATGATAATGATAATAATGATGATATTAATGATAATAATAATAATGGTAATACAAATAATAATGATAATAATAATAATAATAATTATAAAAATTAATGATAATAATAATAATGGTAATACAAATAATAATGATAATAATAATAATAATAACTTAGACAAGCTTAAACATCAAACTACTAACCAATGCTACCAAAGAATGACAAAACACTAATCACCCAATTTTGATGACTGTAACAGCATCTCTAAACCAATCTCCAACATCTTACCGCCACTAAATAATGCCCAATTTACTTCATTAATAAAGACCAATTTACTCCATTAATAAAGCCCAATTTACTTCATCAGTAAAGACCAATATAGTTCATTAACAAAGCCCAATTCACTGCATTAATAAAACCCAATTTATTTAATTAATAAAGACCAATTTACTTCATTAACAAAGCCCAATTTCCTTCATTAATAAAGACCAATTTACTTCATTAACAATTTACTTATTAACAAAGACCAATTCATGCATTAATAAAGACCAATTTACTTCATTAACAAAGCCCAATTTCCCTCATTAATAGAGACCAATTTACTTCATTAACAAAGCCCAATTTACTTCATAAACAAAGCCCAATTTCCTTCATTAACAAAGCTGAATTGCGACCCCGATCAAAGGATACTCACTCGTCATCATCATCATCAAAGATATCCCAGGCCGAGGTGCGGGCAAACAGCACCATCATGGCCATCAGTAAGGACAACAACGCCCTGAAAAAAAAAAGACGAAAGGGTGCATAAATAACAAGATGTGATAAACGAGGAGGAAGTAAATGATGGCAAGTAGAAATGATGAATGATAAGGAGTAATAGATAACGAGGAGGCGTGATAAACGAGGGGGTGAATGATAGAAATTGGAAATGATGAATAACAAGGTGTGATAAACGAGGAGGAAGTAAATGATGGCAAGTAGAAATGATGAATGACAAGGAGTAATAGATAACGAGGAGGCGTGATAAACGAGGGGGTGAATGATAGAAATTGGAAATGATGAATAACAAGGTGTGTGATAAAGAAGGAAGTAAATGATAGCAAGTAGAAATGACAAATAACAAGGAGGTGTGATAAAGAAGGAAATAAATGATAGCAAGTAATGATAATTGACAAACAGGTGTGATAAACGAAGAAGCAGATGATAGCAAGTGGACATTAAAAAATTATATGTAAAAGAAAGTGACGTAAAAATTGATGATAGCAAGTAATGATAATTAACAAACAGGTGTGATAAACGAAGAAGCAAATGACAGCAAGTGGACGTAAAAAAATGATAAGAACAAGTGATATATAAAAAGAACAAGTGAACATATATAATTTAATTGACGAGGGCAAGTTCATATACAAATAGACAAAGATAATGATGAGAAATAATCCTAATACGATAATAAACACACTGATAAAAGGGATATGCTAACAAATGCGAGTAAGAAATTTGCAATATAATAGGAAAGACTAACATTGGCAATGCACAAATAAAAAAAAAAAAAAACACTTTGGAGCAGGGAATGTAAAGATAAGACAATGAAACAGGAAATGTAAAGAAAAACAAGACAGTTAAGAAAGAAGTTAAATTCGTGAGTACTTTTATCTCGGCGACGGCAGGTGGCGCTCGGCAGGACGGTGAAAACAACTGTACTAAATATACATTAAAAAAGAGAGGAAAGAATGTGTGGACTCGGGAATTAATGTGACTGTAAAAGTGACCCTGTTGTTTGTTCTCCGTGGAAATAACTCTCATCCGTGATTAATTGGCTTTTTTTCTTTTTTCTTTTCTTTCTTTTTTCTTCTTTTTTGAGAGTGGGAGAGAGAATCTTCCGAATAATTCGCGAGAGAAAAAAAAATCGTTACTTTGTGTCAGTGGCAAGACAATTTAAGGAGCAAGACAAGAAAAGACTATGAAATATAAAGATAATGGATTCTTTATACAGTTTTTCTTTCACTTGTTTTCAAGTGTGCGGCGAGTGAGATACTTAGAGTTTTTCATGATATACAATACGGCTTATTACTGTAACATAAAAGATATTTATTTTTTTAGGATGGTGATGATAAAAAGGAAAGCATTGTCATATGCGGAAACACATTGCGATTTTATATAACAGCGAAACGCAATCATTTTACAAATGATGTTTGTTTAAATGTGATTTACCTGTTATTCAATATATTCTACTGAAATTATCTTCTATCGTACACATCTTACCCACACTCTCTACGCATTATTCTTTATCATTTATTTCCTTCATAGAATGCAGAGAAGAAGACATGTATAGGTTAAGTATCGCCTTTAAAACTGCGCATTTCTGCCTTCATCTGAAAATAAACGAAAAGCGCGGGAAATCAAAGAACGAATTCATGTCATATTTTCTCGGACATCTTCCAGCCTTTGAGTCTATTCTTGCTTAATAGTTTAATCTCTAAAATAGAAAGAAAGAAAAAAAGTCGTTGCGCAGTTGTATATTTTCGTGATATCGAGGAAGTTAAATATAAAACTATCAATTTTATGGGATTCGGGGTTGTCACTTTTGACGTATTCGGCGGCCATTTTTTAATATAAAAGATCGAGGATATATTTATAATTTTAGTGAGAGCAAAATAATTATAAAGATCGAGGATATATTTACTGTTTTAGTGAAAGAGGAAAAAAATACAAATATTAAATACCATATTTGGTGATTTTAAGTTTCATAAACTGTTTCACAAGTTGGTATCTCGAAGCCTTTGTCCGACGCAGAAGTTCACTTTAATAGATGTTGAATCGCATACCCTTGTTCAGTGCCAATCCCTCCGTGTCCTTGTCCGATACCAGTTCTGCAGTGCCAGTGTTCAGTGCCAATACCACAGTGCAGAGTTTAATGCCAATGCTTCAGTGCCCCTGCCCCGTGCCAAACCCACAAACCCATGCTTGATACAATACCAAAGTCGTGTTCAGCGGTAGTCCCCGTGTGTCCATACCCAGTACCAGTCCCTCAGTTCAGCGTGCTCAGTCCCCAGCACATTATCCGGGCCTTTAAAATACCTTCTCCCGGCATAAGGACTCGTCGACCCTCAGCTGGTCTCGCGCTCGGACACAGGTGGCTAGAGAGAGCTGGGCTAAATATGGTTGCTCCTCAAGACTCCTCTCTCGCTAATTTATTTTAGCCTCGCGCTCACTTTCCCCCTTTCTCCTCTCTCTCTCTCTCTCTCTCTCTCTCTCTCTCTCTCTCTCTCTCTCTCTCTTCTCTCTCTCTCTCTCTCTCTCTCTCTCACTCTCTCTCTCTCTCTTCTCTCTCTCTCTCTCTCTCTCTCTCATCTTCCATCTCTCTCTCTCTCTCTCTCTCGTCTCTCTCTCTCTCCTCTCTTGCTCTCTCGCTCTCCCTCTAGCTTCCTCTCTGTCTTAGTCTCTCAATCTTCTCTCTCTCTCATCTCTCAAATCTCTCTCCTCTCTCTTTCTCTCTCTCTCTCCTCTCTCTCTCTCTTCTCTGTCTCTCCAAATCTCTCGTGTCTTCTCTCCTCTCTGCTATATATATCTCTATATATCTATATATATATATATATATATATATATATATATATATATATATATATATATATATATATATATATCCTGCACAAACCTGCATACACAACTGGTACCGGCTTTTTCCTCTCACTGTTCAAATGAGCCGAAACACACACTTTCGTCCCAGCCACCCCTACTCATTTATAATAAAAACAACTTTTTTATAAGCTCATGAATTACGAGAACAAACATACCCGCTGAGGTAATGGCCCACCGATCCTTAAAAAAAGAAAAAGAAAAAATAGAAAAAAAGAAAAAAAACTTGACAGCCACTTTGAAGACCTCTTAATGACTGTCAATTGCGCACTTTCCTGGCAGGCGAACAATCCTGCCAGGGTCTTCCCCTTCCCCTTCCCCGCCCCTGCCAGCAGAGAGAGAGAGAGAGGGAAGAGAGAAAAAGAGAGAGAGAGAGAGAATAGAGAGAAAAGCAGAGAGAGAGAGGGAGGGAAAAGAGATAAGAAGCAGAGAGGGAGAAAAAGAGAGAAAGAAGCAGAGAGGGAGAGAGGGAGAAAAAGAGAAGCAGAGAGAGAAAGGGAGAAAAAGAGAAAAGCAGAGAGAGAGAAGGGAGAAAGAAGAAAGAAGCAGAGGGAGAGAGAAGGGAGAAAAAGAGAGAAAAGGGAGAGAGGAGAAAAGAGAGAAAGAAGCAGAGAGAGAGAGAGAAAGAGAGAGAGGGAGAAAAAGAGAGAAAGAAGGAGAGAGGGAGAAAAAGAGAGAAAGAAGCAGAGAGAGAGGGAGAAAAAGAGAGAAAGAGGGAGAGAGGGAGAAAAAGAGAGAAAGAAGCAGAGAGAGAAAAAAAAGAGAGAAAGAAGCGGAGGGGGAAAAAAAGAGAGAAGAAGGAGAGAGGGAGAAAAAGAGAGAAAAGAAGCAGAAGAGAGGGAGAACAAAAAGAAAGAAGCAGAGAGAGAGGGAGAAAAAGAGAGAAAGATTGAAAAAAAGAAAGAAGCAGAGAGAGACTAGCGGGGCAGCCATTGTTTATCTTGGCCCAGCATCCGGGCACCTCGAACCGCGCAGTTGCAGCACGGGGCGCCCCCCCTTCCACGCACGCGAGCGAACGGGAGGGCGTGCAGAGGGTCCCGGTTTGGGGCCACGCGTGATTCGGTTGATTTAAATGCACGTTGTGTGTGTGTGTGTTTGCATGTATATATACACATATTTGAAGATATGTATTCAAATATTCATAAATATTTATATGCATACATATACATCAATCTGTCTGTATTTATATATGTATATATGTCTGTCTGTCTATCTATCTATCTATATATAAATCCATATACATATTATTCATACATATATACACACACACACATATATATATATATATATATATATATATATATATATATATATATGTGTGTGTGTGTGTGTGTGTGTGTGTGTGTGTGTGTGTGTATGGACTGTATGCCTTTGTTGACTGAGGTTTGGATATAATGTTCAGTGGTGTATGGATGAGAAGTGTGGGGGGCGGGGGGGGGGTATAATGATTTTGTAGTTGTTTGTCATTGTACAAGAACAAGCGTATGTGCGTGTGTTTCTAGTATGACTGTCAAGAATTTTCCCCTTGTTTTTATACAACGACAAACAACTACAAAATCATCATACCGCACCCCTATCTCATCCATACATTAATGAACATTATATCCGAACCTCAGTCAACAAAGGTATTCAATCCACATATACTAATACACACACATACACCCCAGAAAAAAAAAAACTTTTGATCAACATCTGACATGACAGGGGCGAATTAATCCCGTCAGTCAGTGATATGAGTCAGCGTTTGTTGTCGTAAAGGGAGCAACATGTTTCACGTTGGCGTTCGGAGTCGCTGTGAAGCTAAACCGATTTATTTTCACTGCGCAGAGCTTCCGTCTGTCAGAGTTGGCGGTTACAGATTCGGGCCTCCTGACGCATCCAGCTTTGGAGACGTAAATACACATATTGAATCAAAGTTATTGATAGGATGCCAAAGCTTTGGTTTGGAAATACCCACCATATTAATTATCTTATTTTTCACAAAGTGTGTGTGTGTGTGTGTGTGTGTGTTTGTGTGTGTGTGGTGTGTGTGTGTGTGATAGCTTGGTCTAACCATTTTTTTTAATTAAAACCTATTTGTAAAGGAGATAATTAAGTGGACAACTTGCCAAAAACCAAGCATGTGCGTATATTAAGAATATTTTCCTCTCGTTTTTTTCCGAAAAATAATCTTACCCTTTCAAGTTTTGACTGCATTTAATTTTAAGCCCCCGCCCCCACCCCATTTAAAATGAAAATAATAAATACAAACGAGTGTTCAACAATGCGTTCTATTTTCACTCGCCCACGCATTCGGACACGGACCCCACCCTCCTTCGTCTTGGTAATTAGCCAAACCCGAACAAAAATAAAATAAACAAATGACGAAAAGTGACTTGATATTTTTCTTTTTCTATCGGCTTAGAGGGAGGGCTGGAGGGGAAGCACTTTCTTGAAGAGATAACTTATCTCGGCTACTTGCATGTGCGCGGGGGGAGGGGGGGGGCGATGCGCAGACTCGAATGATACCTGAGGCTATTAACGAATGTCTATTTACGTATTTAGATCTTGTCTAGATGCCTCTATGTCGCTTCATTCTCTCTTGCATAAAGACGTGTTATTTCAGGACATCATTCTCATAATATTTTTTTGAATTTATTGTATGTGCTATTATATTAGCGATTTCCCTTACACAGAAATCTTCACTGATCTTTCTGATGCATTAGATTAAAAGTTGAATTAAAAGAAATAATAACTTTCAAGCAAGACGTTTCTAAGATGTGAGAGGCTTTTTCGTTCAAAATAGGATGTTTAAGCGGTGCTTATTCCCTAATTCGTGACTTTATAGTAAGTGATCTTTATCAGGCTTTTTATTATCATCAACCCATGTTTAATTTTCACACATTTGCATCACTGCGACAAGTACCATTAACATCATCACCATTACCCTCATCACATATTAATCATTCACTTCACCATCACTACAACTTTGGCTCCAACAATCAATCATCATCAGTCACCATCAACCATCTACTGATCATCATTAATTTACCATACAGCCTTCATCATGATCATCCACCATATTTTAACTCACCACCACACCATCAGCCAGTCACTACCAACTATACTCTGACTTCACCACCATCACAGACTCTCATCCTCTCTCTCCTCTCTCCTCTTCTCTCTTCTCTCCTCTCTCTCTCTCTCTCTCTCTTCTCTTCTCTCTCTCTCTCTTCTCTTCTCTCTCTCTCTCTCCTCTCTCTCTCTCTCTCTCTCTCTCTCTCTCTCTCTCCACTCTCTCCTCTCTCTCTCCCTCTTCTCCTCTCTCTCTCTCTCTCTCTCTCTCTCTCTCTCTCTCTCTCTCTCTCTCTTCTCTCTCTCTCTCTCTCTCTCTCTCTCTCTCTCTCTCTCTCTCTCTCTCTCTCTCTCTCTCTCCTCTCTCTCTCTTCTCTCCTCTCTCTCTCTCTCTTCTCTCTCCCTCTCTCTCCTCCTCTCTCTCTCTCTTCTCTCCCTCTTCCTTCCCCTCCTCTCTCCCTCTCTCTCTCTCCCTCCCTGCCTTCCCCCTCCCTCCCCTCTCCCCTCTTCCCCTCCCCCTCTCTCTCCCCCTTCCTCCTTTCCCCTATTTCCCCCCCCCCTCTCTCTCTCTCGCTCAGTGAATGCCCTCCTTCAGGCTGGCACGACTCCATACAACGAGGGAACGACACACGGGGCAAAGGTCGTTAAACAGAGGAGCCCGGTGATCAAGGGAGATACTGGGGCCAAAAATAAGGCTAAGTAAATACGTGAAAGTAGAATGGTAGAGGCAGAAAGTATGGGGAGGTTGGCCGGGGGTGGCTTGAGGGGGGGGGGATGGTTGGAAAGAGGGAAAGGAAAGGGTAAAAACTGAGAGGGAAAACATGGGAAGAAGGGAGGGAGGAGAGGGTGAGAGAAAGAAAGAGAGAGAGAGTAAAGTAGAGAAAGAGAGACAGACAGAGAAGAGAGCGAGAGCGAGAGAATGAGGGGGGGCAAAGAAAAAGACAGACAGACAGAGACAGAGAGCGAGAGAGTAAGAGTGAGAAAAAGAGAGACCGACAGGCAGAGACAGAGAGCGAAGAGAGGGGGGGGGGGCAAAGAGAAAGATAAGAGAGCAGAGAGAGGAGAGAGAGAGAGAGAGAGAGAGAGAGAGATGAGAGAGAGAGAGAGAGAGAGAAGAGAGAGAGAGAGAGAGAGGGAGAGAGGGGGGGGGGGGGGCAAAGAGAAAGAGAGAGAGAGAGAGAGAGATTAAGAGTGAACAATGAGAACGCAGCAAAAGATTAAACGTAGAAACGGCAAAATGAAAACGTAGATTTCACACACCTAAGTTCTCCAGCGAAAAGTCTAAACTCCAGCGAAATAATAAATATCACGAATTAATAACATAATGAAGAATAAATCTGAATGTAAATGTTACCTTAATTTTTTATTTCTATTTTGATTATAATTATTGCTTGTTGATATATATGTGTTTGCCTCGTGTATTCCTCAAGATCAAAACTCTAATTAAGATTTGAATAGCATAACGATCCACTTCCTGTATTTGGAATGGCATTAAGGAACTAATGGTTATTACTCTCATAATCATTTAATACAGTAATAGCAATAATTTCAAAAGTGATACTAATGACTATGCATACTATTCTGTATCATTCACTTAACGTCAAAGATGCCTATCATATTCTGCATATTTATACTGAGTGATACATTCGACTTTAGCGACAACAAGCGTAAAGTTAAGAAACACCAAATCTTAAAAAAGCTGCGGTTAAACAATAACGACAATACTAATACGAAGAACGATGTTAATAATAATAAGGAAAATAATAACAGACAATAAAACACAGCGTCGCATTAGCAATAGAGCGAATTAAAAACTCTTGAATGACGTAGCCCCTTCCCGCGCGATCAAGAGGTATCATGGCTTCCCGCTTTGAACATCCGGGAAACCTGTATCATGTGTGATTTACAGATATGATGTATCACTTTGTTCACTTGTTTATCGTTGTATGTGGGTTTGTTTTATCTGTTTAGGCATTCAATGGTGTTTATTTTTTTGTTTTATGTCATGTTTCTCTTTATATGAAGGTTGGGGTGGATATATCGTGTCTATTTTCAAACGCGTGGATTGTGTATTTTCAATTTGCAAATTTGCATGGCGAAAAACCTGCAGAATTAATTATTCTTCAAACATTTTGCTTGTATTTCGCGATGACAGATAAAATTATGTAAAATTCTGTCAATTTTCAAACGCGTGGATCGTATATTTACAATTTGCAAATCTGCATGGCGAAAATTCTGCAGAATTAATTATTCTGTAAACATTTTGCTTGTATTTCGCGATGACAGGTAAAGGTATGTAAACAATCAATTTCGCAAAACGTAATAAATTCATGCGGAAATAAGCAATGACTCAATCAACTATGATATAAAAGCATAGATGAATATATGCATATACATATATATGCACATATATATATTTATTTATATATACAACAAGGGGCACTGTCTGTGTTCTTAATTAATCTATCCAAATCAAAATAATCAGCGCGAGCGAGGTGGCAGGCGTGAAGCAGCGGCGGTTTCCGAGAATAACTTTGGCTGCGCACTCGACCCGCGTGAGCACATTCTTTTGTTTTTCGTAAGCGATTTCTGGATAAATAGATAAAAAAAACGGATGCACGTGAATTTTACTTGTATTTAGGTGACCCGTCCTCCAGCGGGTGTAGACAGAACGTGAGGGGACGTCAAAGAAAATTGGTAAAATATTGAGGTAATCTTGATCATGAATTCCCGGATGTAACCTTCAAAAATAATCTTACTATCATTCGTTCGCTATTACGTAACATGATTCCGATAACAAAAAATTCAAGCTTTTTATCTCTTTCTTCATGATGGCCAAATATGGTCATCGCCGAAGAGGCTGGCGAGTTATCTGTCCTCGGTTTCCTTTCGCGTTAAGGAGTTGGAAAACGAAGACGCAATTCTTCTCACAGATAATTTCGAACAGAAAACGAGATGAAACTACGTCTTTCTTTCAATGTTACCGAGTAAAACTAGATATCAACTAGCTACAGGAAGCTCGAGGAGTGCGGACCGCGACATCAGTAAACACAAGATAATTTGCTCCAGTTAAAATGATAATGTCAAACGTCACTAATTAACCTAAGTCTCTCCCGCCGGCGCCGCACCCTATCACGCATCGTTTTCAATCTAGTCTTGTCTTTCGTCGCACTGTTCTTTCCTTTCCGTAGTCATCGTTAAACACACTGTAATACTTCTTTCCTCTCGATCTTTGTATTTGGAAATTTGATCGTCGTCACTCGTAGTCACTTCGGGCA